TGGAGATACTACAGCACTGTAATAACGAGCACCACCAGCATCTCCACACACAACAGCCCTGACACCGCTYGAGGATCCACCCAAAGACCCATCCCCTGGGCTGGGCTACTGGCCACCCCGAGCCCGCCGGTTCCTGCTCAGGCCTGGCCAGAGCCCTTCCATGGCGCCACCGAGCAGCACAAGGGCTGCGTCCCCGCCGCGCACAGCGCCGGCACGCGCGGGGCCTGACGCCCAGGCACCTCCAGCACTGCAGGCGGCTTCAACGAGAAACTAAATTCTGTATGAGCTGAAAGATTCCTCTTCTGAAAAAGGAAACGAAACCCCCAAACCACACACGCTCCTCCCCGAAACCCAACGCTGAAAGCGGCCAAGCCAACCCTCACAGCACCTCCCCACCTCACCTTGCTGAGCTTTGCTGGCGTGTACGTACAGCGAGCTTATGCATAAGGCTGGAAGAGCTGCTCCCTAACGTGATTAACCGCAAGTGCTCCAACCACTACATCATTACGGATAAAGCAGCTGCTGCCAACGGCTGCATTTTGGGAACGGGCAGGAATGTTCCTGCTCTGACAAGAAACRCTCTTTGCATGGAGTATCACCAGACACACTGGTCTAACAGAGCTCAAACGCCAGTTCCAGTTGCCCACCTTGGCCGAATTTTTAAGCTGAGCAAATTCTTGCACTTCGTGCCCCACAAGGAGGTACAGCCGTGTGTTCAGCTCGCTTGAGGCTGTGTTGACACTGTTTTTGATGAGACTGAAATCGTTACCCAGATGAGCAGGGTGAAGCCGCAGCCCCTTCGATGTGTCTGCGGCCTCTCGGCCACCGAGGCCTCCCCCTGCAGCAAGCCCCGGGCTGCCCCTCGGGGTCCGCGGCGCGCGCTCCAGGGCGCCGCAGCGGGAATGCGCTCCAGGGCAAGCCCAGCGCCCGGCCCGGCTCCCCGCCGGGGCCGCTTGAGCCCCAGGACTTGCCCTCTTTCTTCATCAGCAAATGCAGTGTCCAACCCCGGGTCTTCCCTAGGGATCTATAGGAAGGSGAGCAGCAGCAGCTGCACTTCACTGTGACAGGGACCTTACAGCCTCTTCCCAGTCTCCCCATCCCATCGCCCTCGGCCACCTCCTACAAAAGGTGTTTCTGCCTCACCAACACCACGGTCACARCATCACAGAATGGTTGAGGTTGGAAGGGACCTCTGGAGATCATCTGGTTCAACCTGCTCAAGTAGGGACACCTGCTTGAAATAGAGCATTTGAAGACCTCCAGAGAAGGAGACTCCACAACCTCCCTGGACAGCCTGTGCCAGGGCTCTGTCATCCTCACAGGAAAGAAGTTCCTCCTCACACGGAGGGTCCTCTGCCCCTTTGGGCACCGAGGCCCTCACCAGGCGGCAGCACATTAGGGACAGCAGCAGCACTTGCAGGATGGAAGGACAWATACTTAAGCTGAGTGAAGTGCGGAGGGACACACAAGAAAAAATGCTGACTTAAAGACACTTAAGAGCTACTAAAATAGGCAGCTCRTAAGTGTAGGACAGTTTAAAGATTACTAAAAATAACTAGTGCAGTCTAAGCAGGTGTCTTCAAGAATGACATTCTGATATGACTCAGAAATCTCTCTTATCTTTTACTTTTTAAAGCATCACAGGGGTTAGAAAAAGCTAGTCAGCTCTTTCCAGCAACCACATTAAAACTGGCACGTTCACCGTCACTTTCTATCCACGGGTGAACGAAAAAGCCAGCTAGGTGAGGAGACCTGATAGAACATCCTCATGAGAAACAAGGTGCTCCACAGCACTCCAAGGGCTGGGGAAAGCTTCCCAAATCTCCCAAGTCCTGCTCACTTGTACTATTCCATGTACTAACTTGTTTTGAACAGTTGGCAAAGTATTTTGCAAAAGGAGTTTAAGATCACAGCTTGAGTCTTGCTTTTATTCCTCCCCTAAAAGCACATCTTTGATTTCCCATTGTAAAGGTCCTGAGGACCTGTAAGGAAATTGATTTCCTGTAAGGAAACTGATGAGACTTCATTAACGAGGTGGAGGCCACCCACAAAACACCCAGGACGGGATCCAGGACTTCTCTGGATCCTCGGGTAAGCAAAACTCCCATCAAATCTCCATTTACACAACACGCACAGAACAGGCGTAACTGCTGATTTTCACACTGACAGAGCTGTAGCCCGACTGACACCTAAACTTTGCATCTTGAATATTGCTCATCCTAAATCTGAAAGCAGATTGTGTACTGTAGCATCATTTGCCTGTTAAGCATTTCAGAACCACCTTAACATATTGTACAGTCAGTAAACAGCGTGCCCACATTAAAAATGGTGGTGTAGGACCACAAACAAATGTGCTATTCTACTGCTACAATACTAAGCCAAATTTTCCTTTGATTAACTACAGTGTATTTACACACAATGCACTTCTTAAGTGATTTTCAAACCTTCCTGAAGTCAGCTTTATCAGAATTCCACAGCATCTTAACTAATACTGTATTTTCCATTAAGTATCAGGAGGCACAGATGTGAACATTCACCTAGTCTAGATCTGTTAACATGATGACAAATCAGAGAAGAGCACTTGCCAACTACAAAAAATACCTGAAAACAATAAAACAAACTCATATTTAAGTACTCATGTGCACGCACACACACACACATTTCTTACCAAGGAATGTCTCTTCACATGCTCTCTTCGAGTAAACAGCTTCCCACAGATGTCACAACTGAAAGATCTCACGCCCGTGTGAATAAGCAAGTGTCTCTTTAGTGTTCTTCTGTATTTGGCTACATAATTACAGTGTGGACACTTCAGCTTGTTCATGATTAAAGCAGAGGAATCACCTATGAAAAAAAAGACATTAATAGAAAAAATGATGATAAAGAAATGAAGAGGTATTTGGATATGTTCTACTTGACAGCCAGCAACATGCAGGTTCCAGAACAAAGTATCCTCATCATCACTTTATCAGGTGAATCAGAAAACACAAGAATTGGAGCTCCAGCACTCACAACCTTGCTAAAAAAACCCGTTTGTAAACATTTTAGTACAAAACACAGCAGTTATTTGAAGAGATGTCTGATTTCATAGATCAATAAGTTAATTAAAAATAGAAAGAATTCTCTGAGGCTCTCATTGATCTCTCATATAAATTCAGAAACAATATTCCATTTTCCAGAGGCCACCTCTATCACAAAACAGTTTCATCTGGATTAGAAACCCTCCACATCTATGTCATTTATCCAGTTATGATCTTCTCTCGCTCCGTTCCAGCACGAMCTACGTGCAGGAGCTTCCTGCCAAGATCTGGATCTGCAGCAGCCGGGGGGAAGCGTCGTCAAACAAGCAACGTGCCTGACAAAGCAGCGAGCGGGGTAAGAGGCAGCACAACTCTGAAACTGCTATAAAAAGGAAGTCACTGGCTCAGATCTTAGCTATGCCCTTCGCAAAATCTAATTTGGTCTAGCAGAATAAGAAATAATGAGGGCAGAAATAACTTGTGGAAGTACAAAGACTCCGGTTCTTTCTTATGAGGGAAGGGWGCTATTTATATCTGTGGACCCAGGATGACGCAGCTTGCTCAAAGGATGTGTTTCAGATTGAGCTTTACCACCACACTGTATTATTGCATATAAAAAAAGGCACAGGCTACTGTGACAGTTACACAGAAGGCCACACGGGAACGTGGATTATTTGGAGGACAAGGTATTGATCCATTTACTGCCGTTACTTCTGAACATACAATTCTAACTGCCTACAAAGGCGTCCAAAAGGCCCTGGAAAAGGCCACGTGGCTGTATGTACAAGAGCTGCTGAAGTTCATGTTGGCAGGAGAAAGGCAAAAACAACTGTATGCACACACAGGCCTGCATRCCACAGCCAGGAGAAAACACCACTTTCCAGTCAAAAAGCTTCCAATTCATTTTTACATGGAAATTAAGTTCCGTTAGTGTCCTGAACTGACTTGGCTATTTCTAAGCACTCATGGAAGCTGAGTGTCCAGACTCCTCTGCAATAATATAAGCACTTACATGAAGGAAAAGGTAAGAAACTCAAAAGACATTTTGACTTGTAATCATGTATYCATCAACAGGAGTATGACACAGTCATCAGGGCTATAACAGACACAGGAATCGAATGGTTTAGAGCCAGGAGGACTGCAGAAGACTTGGGCTCTAATCGCTGGCCCACTAGTGATTTTCACCTTCCTATGACTCAACTTCCCTTGTAGAAACAAGAATATTAAGAATAAACATAAACCATACCACAACCATACCTAAATACCGTACAGAAAAGACGGGCAATTTTTTCACCCAATCCCTTATGTCTTTACAGGACACAAACTCTTCACAAAGGGTTTCTGTATGTTAAGAATCCAGCAATAACCGTTTCAGATGTGGTAGGGGTTTTTTCCCCCGGTATGTTCCAAGTGTTTTCAAAAGAGCTGCAATAACCCAAGCAAGCAGCTAGCTAAGCAAGGCTAAGTGAGACCACAGCACACAAGTCTGACTGAACAGGACTTTAGTTATGACTGCGCTGAATTAAAAACCTTTAACACAGCAAAAGCTTTTATTTGCACATTGAAATGTGTGAATGGAAATCTAATACACAAGTTTAAATATACTTTTTCAAGTATCTTCATCAAACAAGTACTCAATTTTAAAGCCCACTGCCTTCCTCACTGAAGGCAGGAGGAAAAAAGCTATTAAATCACTGGATACTGAAGTATCTTCTTATTCATGCACAACACAAGAGCTGATTAAAAATTATGTTCCAGCTCTTCTATATATTTGAACTCTCTTTCCTCTCTCCAAGCAGGCAGTACTACATACTTTACCCATAAAGGCAAGTAGTATGAGACGTTATTCCATAAACACTTAACCTTATACATTTATGCCTAAACTGATCRACTATTCCCAGCAGAGACAGAGTGGTAAAGAGGAAGAACCCCCCTCTCCTCTCAAATGTACTTGCCATTTTCCCAAGCGTCCTTTGGCCACGATTCTGGCAGCAGTCCATACTTGAAGTCATTGGAAGCACCCGGCAGCAGTCCGTACTTGAAATCACTTGAAGTACCCGGCAGCAGCCCGTACTTGAAGTCACTTGAAGTACCAGGCAGCAGTCCGTACTTGAAGTCACTTGAAGTACCTATTACAGACAGAGTTACTTGGATTTTCCTGCTTTTTGAACAGTCAGGTTGCACTTCAAAGATTGTTTTCTCAAAAAAATTAAGGCAAAATAGTTTAGTATAGTAGCTAATGTAAAAGCTTAACACAGTAGTCACCGTAACTGTTTTTCAGGCACTCTTCAGCACCAAAATGAGGAAAAACAAGATATTCCTAATTTCTACAAAATTACATCTCCGAAATATTTCTCATGTCACCTTTTTTTCCTCCRCATCCTGGGACATCACAGCTTTTCCCATTACCTAGGCTCTTACAGGAAGTATTTTTCTGCCTGGCTATCATTATGACAGGGCTAAAAAGTTTTCCCCTGATTTCTTTTGCTGTGTAGTGACTTCATTTGGTCCACCACAGGCAGTCAAGCTGGGAACAAAGCACTCATGCCCACGAGAGGTATGATTTTCTTTACTGCTTTAACCCATCTCAGCTGTATATAAAGTGCTCTACATACCTTTCATATAAATCAAGTATSCTACAGCTACGTCTAACTCCCTTTTTGAAAAATCATCTCCATTACTCTATAACCACATCCATTTAAGAGACTATAATTACTTTAAATATTCCAGCTTATAATAGTAGCTTGCGTTTTCACATATGGTCTTTAGACAAGCTCTTCATGGAGTCTGCAGGGTCCCTGCACATTTCTAAAGAAATACTCAAAACTGAGCAGTGCTTTCAARAGAGCCACCCGATCTAGTCCTGTCCTTCTGCCACAAGCAGTAATTCGCACGAGCTAATCCAGAACCACCCATACACGGCCCAGGCAGTACATACATCACACCTCGGAGCTGCCTGAGCCACTGGACAGAATCATACGTGGGGGTCAAAGACTCCCTCTGACAAAAGGGCAAATTCCTCCTCCCTCCCCAGCAAGTGCCAAGACAGGAGTTTATTGGAAAACAGGAGCCTGCAAATCCTCTACTCCCTCCTCACACTTGGAGCTGTTAAATAAACCGCTTGGGAACTGGCAGGTTTCCCTCCACGTGTCTGCACTCCATACACTGGATTCCCAATCCCTCCATACACTGGATTCCCAATATCGCTGCTGTCAGATCTTGAGGACAGGCTTAAATGGACACTATTTGACCTCCAAGCTCAAGCCTGTATTTAGTAGCAACCCTAAGAAGTCTTTGCTTGCCCTCAGCTGCTCATTCTAGGGATTTTCTGTGGAATCAAAACTCTCAGAATATAACCCAGRGTTCTGCAAGGCTAGCGGTGAATAAATTGCATACAGAAACAAACAGTTTTATCTCCATAGTTCTGTGAGGAGAGACRGACAGCTTAGAAATTCCTCCAGCATGAGGCACATGCATCAGTTTCATTCTCCTGCTCAGCTCCTCTCAYGGCTGGCAGTACAAGTGGCATCCACAGTGCGAGACAACAGCTTTAAAGGAAAAATGAGGTAAACTAACTAAGCCTCCCTACTCTTCAAAAGAGAGAGAAAACTATCCTAAACTACAGATTCCAGCAGCTGTTCCATGCTGTGCCGGAGAGCGGGAAGGACTCGCTGTGCCCGCGCGGCGCCGGGGGCCTGGGGGCAGCGCGAGCTCCGGCGCGGTGCCCGTGTGGGCTCTGCTCCCGAGGCGGGAGCCCTGCACGACAGGAGCAGCCCGTGCTGCAGCCACCAACGGGGACGGCCTGACAGAGAGGCCAGGAGCCTCCACACGGGAGGCAGCTTCGGGACACAGTACAGAGAAATAAGACACTTGCTATAACCTGGTAGGAATGCCACAGCTTCTCTTTATTCATTTTCCCCTCCAACAGACCTTTGTCTCCCTTGGAACTGCAGAAGATCCAAATCTTTTACTCAGGTTTTCCTTCCTATGGGAAGAATATCCATAAAAATGAATAGTCGACGCCKTGACTGCTCTCTGGGAGCAGCCTACATAATATATATACTGTGCACAGGCAGCACTGCATAGCTTTGAGAAGTCTTACTCTGTAGACTGACTCTAAGAGGTCTGCGAGGCCAAGCCCATTTGGGATGGCACTGGTCACTGCAGCAGTTGTCCTGGATGCAGGGAAGCACAGTGTGAATTCCACCAGGAACATCCACGCTTACGGCTAGTACTGAAGCCTGCAGCAAATGAGAAATTCAACCCACTGGGCAGATGTAGATCTCAGTGTAAGACTTGCAACAGGGCAAGGGAGACTTAGGAGTTTTAGTACTGTTAGTTTAGCAGAGGTAACAGCTAAGTCTTTCTACCTTCAGTTTGAAGAGACMATCTGCTAAAACACGAAGAACATTGGCACAGATACACCAGAGATACGAGCTTGCTACGGGCACTTCAGCCATTGCAGAAGACAGGGCTAAGGTGCATCTTAACTCAGCTTAAAGCTACTCTTTCTCAAAAGAAGTTGTTGATCTAGAAAACCTACCTTCCAAGCCAAGCCCACACGCRATGTGCTCAAAATGCCAGCGAAGGGCATTTGCAGCGCCCAAGGGCTGCTGAGACAGGTGCCTGGCCCAGCTCCTGCTCCCGCAGCCACCTAGTCCGGGGCTATGGGAAGCTGTGGGGGCTTCCGCAGGGTGCGTGGTGGAAGGGCAAGACATGGATCCAAGCGCAGCACGCGGACGGGAGGGTAGCACGAGCTCCCACCGAGGGGCTCTCCCGAGCAGCCACCTCCTCGGCCAGGTGGGACCGGGCAGCTCAYGTGGTGCCAGCCTTCCTCCATCAAAGGACATCCTCTCAAACTCGAGTTCRTTCCCCAAACAGGCGGGAGTTAATGATTCACAGGGCAGCTGGCTTGCAACATCTGCCCCATGCTTCAACCCTATGGCAGAGCTTTACACCTAACTCAACCTTAAAAGCAAGAAAACCAAAAATCCACAAACCTTATTTAAATCAAGAGATAAACTGATTAACTATTGGAATTAATACAGGATGTTAACCTAAGAAAAGGCACCTTCAGTTCCAAATAACCTAAAGGAGTTACCCAGGCTTTTACATAACCAACAAAGTTTTTATGGAAGTCTTTTATATTCTAATATGTTCCTTGTGAGGAAGGATAACCACAAATTAAATGTGCTCATTTGCAGGCTGGAAGGTTGCGGTGCTGCTGCTGAGAGTGGCCAAGAAAAGACAGCAAGCAAAGAGCATGTGAGCAGCAACAGCCTGATTTTGAAGAGTGTTGTAACCAGGAACACTCAGAACTTCCAGCATGAAAAGGAAGCATTACTGAAGTGGGAAAGGACAAGCAGTCTGAGAAGTCAGCAAKAAAAGCCATTGAACAGGTCCTTATCAAAAGGGACATGGAAGCAGGGGCACAGTGAAGAGGACACAAAACACAGTAGACACAGGTGGCTTTAAAGGACTTTTAACTCTTTTCTTCACACTAATCACCACTAAAAGCAGTGCCAGAGAAAGGAGGAACGCTGCTATTCTCCCACCACCTTTTCTGACATTCACTGCTCCTTCAGGTCAATTCAAAAGGCAAAGCAGATAAGTGATTAGGCCATGGCTACTAAGCACTGCAAAGAGAGCAGTGCTAATCTACTGATACAGTCTACTGAAAGTAATCCAGAGAGCTGGATTTCTTGCTTAGGGTAAGCAGCACGTGACAGGAAAAAAAAAAAAGTGTTTCTTATGGGGCAACCGACCCCATAAGGATCCCCCCAAGTGACTTATGGGGAAGGTGGAGGAGAGAAAACAGAGTTTGCAGTAGGAGCATCACACAGGAGCTGTCTCTCACATCGCAGGTCACAGCCCAGCTAAGAGAAGCCCTTYTGGCAGCAGGACCTTCCTAGTGTTCTGTGAGCCCCTCCGTGTGGCTCCTTATTTCTGTTGTTTCCCCAAACATGAAGGAATCTTTTACTATCCTGATCATAAAGACAGACCTATCACAAGGCAGCCCTGCCCAATGCCATCACTTGTTGCCAAATACACAATCTACTGGCTTTTGCCAAGTTGCTTATCACATAAAGAAAAAAAGCTTCCCGAGAAAGAGGTACATTCATTCTGTCTTTATTTAGAAAGCTATTTTACTGCTCCCATTAAAGTCCACACCAGTGAAAGCTGAGACTGTAAGAACGTTTCTCATGCACATCATGTGGGGGGGGGTAATTGCTCCCAGGGATCATCACGGACTCAGAGACGACCTTAGGTTTGAAAGGACCTCTGAGGGTCACCTAGCTCAACCTTCTCCTCAAAGCAGGAGGAACTTCAAAGCAGGATTACAGGTTGCTTTGGGCCTTGTCAAGTTTCAAATATCTTCAGGGGCAGAGAGTTCCTTAACTCCTAAGATGTTGCAGTAGCTACTCTCATAGTCAAGAGAAGTTTTCCTCATATCCAGCTGGAATTTCGCTTGCTGCAACCTCTATCAACTTTCATCCTTTCACAAGGATCTCCAACAGGCATTTGCTTGCAAACCTCATCTGCCCCGGGAGCCTCTTGAGACAGAAGACTGCACGCAGACGCCCCTTGGCCTTGTCCAGGTTGCTGGAGGAGAGGTCRACAAAGGAGTCTCCACAGCGCCTTCTCCAGCCTCCTGCCCACCCTGGTGGCTCTCTCTCCTTCGGGCTCCCTCCAGCTTGCTGGCATCTTTTCTTCCACTGGGCTTCCACCAAGCGCCCCTTTGTGCCGACACTTCCCGGGCAGGACTTGCTCCTTTCTYTCCCGAGCCTCATGATGTTCCCCAGAGGCCAACTCACACCTCGTTGAGCTTCTTCAGACCCTCAGCTCTGCTCCCATAGCCTATCAACCATCTCCCCATAGCTTTATGCCATCTGCAAATTTGCTGACTGTTGTGTGTCCTGCTCTGGGGACTGATGGCRATGAGAGGTTTTCTGTAATAGGCCCTCAACTTCTTCAGGAAGATTTTGATTCATAAACTTTTGGTCTATGTTGTGGGCTCAAGGGCTGTATATACAAGTGTTCTCTGCTCAGTAAAGCCACAAGTCGCTCTCTGCAGCACATGCAGAGAGTTGCTGCTGACACTGTTTTTACCAGGTGCCCCCAATGTCTG